ATGGAAATTGTTTTAGATCCCACGCGCGCTGAGGACGAAGCCTCCAGTAATCTGCGCGCGCTCGAAGGAAAGTGTTTTTTTTGGTATTTTATGACGTCAACATGAGCCTAAAGCAAAACTGAGAGTAAATTTTCTCGCGTTTCCTTCGGTGAAATTCCGCAAAATTTGGCAGAATGGTAGTGACAATTTTACTTTAGTCGGAGCTCGCTTTTCAGGGAAATTTATAAGACCAGTTTTTTCGCAGGGCTAAAAGATATAAACTTGCAAAAAATGAAAGAAAGGCCGATAATTTAAGACTAACATAGTAAAACACTATTTAATCATTGCTTATTACATGTAATAAGTTTGAGAGGACTGGGTGTCAAACCGAATGCAAAAACAGGATTCAAGACATAACACTTGCGCGCGCAACGCCATAAATGATTACCCTATGGGGTCACTTTAACCATGATTTTAAGAGTTTCCCAGCTTGTAGGCTTTCATTTTGTGCAGTTAAGGTTGCTTCATCATGATTTTGATCTGAGGTAGTTTCTGAACCATCCTTGCTCACCCTTTATATCAACATATAAAAATTCGCAGTCGACAGGCCTTTAACATGTCGTCAACTAGGTAGCTAAGTTTCATCAAGGACATTTAAACAATAAGGTTCAAGCTTTCTTCCTTGGATGGTAAGGGTGGCTTCCCTGGCCTAGGAATGGAGTGTCTAGAGGAATATACTTTTTCAACAGAAATGAGTGGCATGTCGGTAGAAGCATGATCAGAGGTAGAAAAAGGACTCGCAGACTGTGGTAGGTTTGGATCTAGTGTTTGCAACTCTTCTACGGTGTTCGAATTCGCGTTAGCCTACTCTCACCACGGTTCCACGTAATTCGAGTAATCACCATTCTAGCACATGCAAGATAATCAAGGAGTAATCGTATGCATATGCATGCAGGAGTCTCTTTAACAGAACAGAAAGGATCCAACACAAACTTATCCAGCATAGACATCGCCTAAAAGAACTTACGTTTATCGCCAAAATCACTTCTTCC